GTTACTCTTCACAGAATTGTCACCTGAGGGACACCTACAGCCAACGGTCGGGGACACAGACACAACCGTTAGTTGGCATGGCCCGGGAGCAAGCCCACTGAAATCAGGGACACAGTCCTGTTACCTGCCCCTGTCCTTTGGTGTTTCCCTCACCAAGCGAAGTATCGTTGCTGTGGGCTCAGCCCCACTGTACAGTGAGGAAGAGCTAACAGAGTTACTCAGTCAGGAACGGGGGGAGACAGAATCCGCCTCTTCAGCAGCCAGAAGAAGTTACTGGCGAGGAGAAGTGGCTGGTAGCCGGTCTAGAGACACAGAATTGTTCTCAGGGACCTCCTGACCCACATTGCAGCCGAGAGGGGCACAGTAGTACTGAGGCGGAGACCCTAATTGATGATGATGAGAGGCAGAATCGCACTTGGCACAGAATTGCCTCAGTCGTCAGACACAGAATTGTTACTCAGGGACACAGAATCTGCCATGGGCCCCTGCTACCGCCAGCCCCTCATCTGCTGCCAGTCCAGAGTGTGTCATGGGTCCCTGTCAGGCCTCCCATTGCTGCTGACTCCATCGCCACACTCAGGGCCCATGTGCCACTTTCAATTGTTACTCCAGGTCAGTCACACTGCTGGCCACAGTGAGCACCAGCATTTTGTGTTCCATAGGGTGCTGCCAGTGGCAGGGATTAGGGCAGTCAGCCTCAGGCCAGGAGCTGCTGCCCAGCCCGTAATCTGTCATGGGCCATGGGCCCTGTACCGCCTCCTCATCTGCTGCCAGGTCCAGAGTGTGTCATGGGTCCCTGTACGGCTCCAATTGCTGCTGTCTCCATCGCCACAACTCTGCAGGTGCCACTTTCAGGTCTCCTCACACTGCAGGTGGGTTCCATTTTGTCATAGGGTGCTGGCAGATTACGGGCCTCCCATTGCTGCTGCTGCCAGGCCCGTAATCTGCCATGGGCCCCTGTACCGCCTCATGCTGCTGCCAGGTCCAAGTGGTCATGGGTCCCTGTCTCACGGCCTCCCATTATTGCTGTCTCCATCGCCACACTCTGCCATGTGCCACTTTCAGGTCTCCTCCTCACACTGCTGGTGGGTTCCATTTTGTCATAGGGTGCTGGCAGATTACGGGCCTCCCATTGCTGCTGCCAGGCCCGTAATCTGCCATGGGCCCCTGTACCGCCTCCTCATGCTGCTGCTGGTCCGAGTGTGTCATGGGTCCCTGTACGGCCTCCCATTGCTGCTGTCTCCATCGCCACACTCTGCCATGTGCCACTTTCAGGTCTCCTCACACTGGGTGGGTTCCATTTTGTCATAGGGTGCTGGCAGATTACGGGCCTCCCATTGCTGCTGCCAGGCCCGTAATCTGCCATGGGCCCCCGTACCGCCTCCTCATCATGCTGCTGCCAGGTCCAGAGTGTCATGGGTCCCTGTACGGCCTCCCATTGCTGCTGTCTCCATCGCCCACACTCTGCCATGTGCCACTTTCAGGTCTCCTCACACTGCTGTGGGTTCCATTTTGTCATAGGGTGCTGGCAGATTACGGGCCTCCCATTGCTGCTGCCAGGCCCGTAATCTGCCATGGGCCCCTGTACCGCCTCCTCATGCTGCTGCCAGGTCCAGAGTCTCTCATGGGTCCCTGTACGGCCTCCCATTGCTGCTGTCTCCATCGCCACACTGTGCCATGTGCCACTTTCAGGTCTCCTCACACTGCTGGTGGGTTCCATTTTGTCATAGGGTGCTGGCAGATTACGGGCCTCCCATTGCTGCTGCCAGGCCCGTAATCTGCCATGGGCCCCCGTACCGCCTCCTCATGCTGCTGCCAGGCCAGTAATCTGTCATGGGCCCCTGTACGGCCTCCCATGCTGCCAGGTCCAGAGTGTCTCTGTCCCTGTACGGCCTCCCATTGCTGCTGTGTCTCCATCGCCACACTCTGCCATGTGCCACTTTCAGGTCTCCTCACACTGCTGGTGGGTTCCATTTTGTCATAGGGTGCTGGCAGATTACGGGCCTCCCATTGCTGCTGCCAGGCCCGTAATCTGCCATGGGCCCCTGTACCGCCTCCTCATGCTGCTGCCAGGTCCAGAGTGTCTCATGGGTCCCTGTACGGCCTCCCATTGCTGCTGTCTCCATCGCCACACTCTGCCATGTGCCACTTTCAGGTCTCCTCACACTGCTGGTGGGTTCCATTTTGTCATAGGGTGCTGGCAGATTACGGGCCTCCCATTGCTGCTGCCAGGCCCGTAATCTGCCATGGGCCCCCCGTACCGCCTCCTCATGCTGCTGCCCAGGTCCAGAGTGTCTCATGGGTCCCTGTACGGCCTCCCATTGCTGCTGTCTCCATCCATCGCCACACTCTGCCATGTGCCACTTTCAGGTCTCCTCACACTGCTGGTGGGTTCCATTTTGTCATAGGGTGCTGGCAGATTACGGGCCTCCCATGCTGCTGCTGCCAGGCCCGTAATCTGCCATGGGCCCCTGTACCGCCTCCTCATGCTGCTGCCAGGTCCAGAGTGTGTCATGGGTCCCTGTACGGCCTCCCATTGCTGCTGTCTCCATCGCCACACTCTGCCATGTGCCACTTTCAGGTCTCCTCACACTGCTGGTGGGTTCCATTTTGTCATAGGGTGCTGGCAGATTACGGGCCTCCCATTGCTGCTGCCAGGCCCGTAATCTGCCATGGGCCCCCGTACCGCCTCCTCATGCTGCTGCCAGGTCCAGAGTGTCTCATGGGTCCCTGTACGGCCTCCCATTGCTGCTGTCTCCATCGCCACACTCTGCCATGTGCCACTTTCAGGTCTCCTCACACTGCTGGTGGGTTCCATTTTGTCATAGGGTGCTGGCAGATTACGGGCCTCCCATTGCTGCTGCCAGGCCCGTAATCTGCCATGGGCCCCTGTGTACCGCCGCCTCCTCATGCTGCTGCCAGGTCCAGAGTGTCTGTCATGGGTCCCTGTACGGCCTCCCATTGCTGCTGTCTCCATCGCCACACTGTGCCATGTGCCACTTTCAGGTCTCCTCACACTGCTGCTGGTGGGTTCCATTTTGTCATAGGGTGCTGGCAGATTACGGGCCTCCCATTGCTGCTGCTGCCAGGCCCGTAATCTGCCATGGGCCCCCGTACCGCCTCCTCATGCTGCTGCCAGGTCCAGAGTGTCTCATGGGTCCCTGTACGGCCTCATTGCTGCTGTCTCCATCGCCCACACTGTGCCATGTGCCACTTTCAGGTCTCCTCACACTGCTGGTGGGTTCCATTTTTTGTCATAGGGTGCTGGCAGATTACGGGCCTCCCATTGCTGCTGCCAGGCCCGTAATCTGCCATGGGCCCCCGTACCGCCTCCTCATGCTGCTGCCAGGTCCAGAGTGTCTCATGGGTCCCTGTACGGCCTCCCATTGCTGCTGTCTCCATCGCCACACTGTGCCATGTGCCACTTTCAGGTCTCCTCACACTGCTGGTGGGTTCCATTTTGTCATAGGGTGCTGGCAGATTACGGGCCTCCCATTGCTGCTGCCAGGCCCGTAATCTGCCATGGGCCCCGTACCGCCTCCTCATGCTGCTGCCAGGTCCAGAGTGTCTCATGGGTCCCTGTACGGCCTCCCATTGCTGCTGTCTCCATCGCCACACTCTGCCATGTGCCACTTTCAGGTCTCCTCACACTGCTGGTGGGTTCCATTTTGTCATGGGGTGCTGGCAGATTACGGGCCTCCCATTGCTGCTGCCAGGCCCGTAATCTGCCATGGGGGCCCTGTACCGCCTCCTCATGCTGCTGCCAGGTCCAGAGTGTCTCATGGGTCCCTGTACGGCCTCCCATTGCTGCTGTCTCCATCGCCACACTGTGCCATGTGCCACTTTCAGGTCTCCTCACACTGCTGGTGGGTTCCATTTTGTCATAGGGTGCTGGCAGATTACGGGCCTCCCATTGCTGCTGCCAGGCCCGTAATCTGCCATGGGCCCCGTACCGCCTCCTCATGCTGCTGCCAGGTCCAGAGTGTCTCATGGGTCCCTGTACGGCCTCCCATTGCTGCTGTCTCCATCGCCACACTGTGCCATGTGCCACTTTCAGGTCTCCTCACACTGCTGGTGGGTTCCATTTTGTCATAGGGTGCTGGCAGATTACGGGCCTCCCATTGCTGCTGCCAGGCCCGTAATCTGCCATGGGCCCCCTGTACCGCCTCCTCATGCTGCTGCCAGGTCCAGAGTGTCTCATGGGTCCCTGTACGGCCTCCCATTGCTGCTGTCTCCATCGCCACACTCTGCCATGTGCCACTTTCAGGTCTCCTCACACTGCTGGTGGGTTCCATTTTGTCATAGGGTGCTGGCAGATTACGGGCCTCCCATTGCTGCTGCCAGGCCCGTAATCTGCCATGGGCCCCCGTATGGGCCCCTGTACCGCCTCCTCATGCTGCTGCCAGGTCCAGAGTGTCTCATGGGTCCCTGTACGGCCTCCCATTGCTGCTGTCTCCATCGCCACACTGTGCCATGTGCCACTTTCAGGTCTCCTCACACTGCTGGTGGGTTCCATTTTGTCATAGGGTGCTGGCAGATTACGGGCCTCCCATTGCTGCTGCCAGGCCCGTAATCTGCCATGGGCCCCCGTACCGCCTCCTCATGCTGCTGCCAGGTCCAGAGTGTCTCTCATGGGTCCCTGTACGGCCTCCCATTGCTGCTGTCTCCATCGCCACACTGTGCCATGTGCCACTTTCAGGTCTCCTCACACTGCTGGTGGGTTCCATTTTGTCATAGGGTGCTGGCAGATTACGGGCCTCCCATTGCTGCTGCCAGGCCCGTAATCTGCCATGGGCCCCCGTACCGCCCTCCTCATGCTGCTGCCAGGTCCAGAGTGTCTCATGGGTCCCTGTACGGCCTCCCATTGCTGCTGTCTCCATCGCCACACTGTGCCATGTGCCACTTTCAGGTCTCCTCACACTGCTGGTGGGTTCCATTTTGTCATAGGGTGCTGGCAGATTACGGGCCTCCCATTGCTGCTGCCAGGCCCGTAATCTGCCATGGGCCCCTGTACCGCCTCCTCATGCTGCTGCCAGGTCCAGAGTGTCTCATGGGTCCCTGTACGGCCCCATTGCTGCTGTCTCCATCGCCACACTGTGCCATGTGCCACTTTCAGGTCTCCTCACACTGCTGGTGGGTTCCATTTTGTCATAGGGTGCTGGCAGATTACGGGCCTCCCATTGCTGCTGCCAGGCCCGTAATCTGCCATGGGCCCCCGTACCGCCTCCTCATGCTGCTGCCAGGTCCAGAGTGTCTCATGGGTCCCTGTACGGCCTCCCATTGCTGCTGTCTCCATCGCCACACTCTGCCATGTGCCACTTTCAGGTCTCCTCACACTGCTGGTGGGTTCCATTTTGTCATAGGGTGCTGGCAGATTACGGGCCTCCCATTGCTGCTGCCAGGCCCGTAATCTGCCATGGGCCCCCGTACCGCCTCCTCATGCTGCTGCCAGGTCCAGAGTGTCTCATGGGTCCCTGTACGGCCTCCCATTGCTGCTGTCTCCATCGCCACACTGTGCCATGTGCCACTTTCAGGTCTCCTCACACTGCTGGTGGGTTCCATTTTGTCATAGGGTGCTGGCAGATTACGGGGGCCCCATTGCTGCTGCCAGGCCCGTAATCTGCCATGGGCCCCCGTACCGACTCCTCATGCTGCTGCCAGGTCCAGTAATCTATGGGTCCCTGTACGGCCTCCCATTGCTGCTGTCTCCATCGCCACACTCTGCCATGTGCCACTTTCAGGTCTCCTCACACTGCTGGTGGGTTCCATTTTGTCATAGGGTGCTGGCAGATTACGGGCCTCCCATTGCTGCTGCCAGGCCCGTAATCTGCCATGGGCCCCTGTACCGCCTCCTCATGCTGCTGCCAGGTCCAGAGTGTCTCATGGGTCCCTGTACGGCCTTCCATTGCTGCTGTCTCCATCGCCACACTGTGCCATGTGCCACTTTCAGGTCTCCTCACACTGCTGGTGGGTTCCATTTTGTCATAGGGTGCTGGCAGATTACGGGCCTCCCATTGCTGCTGCCAGGCCCGTAATCTGCCATGGGCCCCCGTACCGACTCCTCATGCTGTGACGTTGCAACAAGGTGGAATTCAACCCTTCATATGTTAGCCGCCTTTACGAACAGCGAAAGGCCATCACCGATTTCCTGATGTTACAAGCGGATAAAGGTACTCCCCTGTGTAACTTAGATGTCAGCCATTGGCAGCTCATGCGTGACACCTGCCGCTTGCTCAGGCCCTTTGAGGAGGCCACGCTATTCGTGAGTCGGCAGGTCTATGGGATGAACGACGTCATTCCTCTGTTGCACGTCCTGGAACAAATGCTGTTAACAATGGCTGGTCAGGGTGCGGTAGACGTGGCGCACAGATCTCAACGCCACATGACCCCTGTGGGGGCAGGACAGGAAGAAGAGGAGGAGGTAGAGGAGGACATTGGTGCTCAGGAATTATTGAGTGAAATGGGTGGTTTTTCCACTCAGCGGACAGGAGTGGAGGAGCAGGAGCATCTGGTAGAGGAGGAGGAGGAGACAGAGGACCCAGACGCACCGTGGCAGTATGCTGTGGAGATGGAGGCAGGGAGTCCCTTGCATTTCTTGGCACAAATGGCCCATAGCATGCTCGGTGCTTGCTTGCGTAGCGACAGGCCCGAATAATAACCATCAGACAGAGGGATGACTTTTGGCTGTCCACCTTGTTGGACCCTCGCTACCCTTCAAAAATGGTGGCCTTTTTCACACTGCTGCTGAGAGGGAGGCCAAAATAACGTACTATAAAAACCACCTATGTAGTCAGTTGGTCTCTGCCTTTCTGCGCCAACGTCCATCCTCAGACACTGTGGGCCCTGTGCGCTCGCGTTCCGCTGCCATGGCAGCAGGGGAGGGGGGGTGGGGTGGTAGGAGCAGTGGCAGCTCCACCAGCAGCGGCTGCCTCAGTCTGCAGTCGATGATGAGTAGCTTTCTTCACCAGCGCAGTGAGGAAACTACTAACCAGCCGCAGCAGCAGCAGCATCAGGTGGACCTGGAGCAGGACCTCAAACAACAGGCTTGGGCCTACTTGGACAGCACCCTGCCAACCGAGGTAGACAATCCCCTTGACTACTGGGCAACGAAACTTGACCTTTGGCCCCAACTAGCTGAATTTGCCCTTGAAAGGCTGTCATGCCCGGCCAGTAGCGTGGCATCGGAGCGCGAGCGCGTGTTTAGTGCGGCAGGAGGTATTGTAACTCCGCGGAGGACACGACTGTCCACCCAAAGTGTGGGAGAGACTCACGTTTGTGAAAATGAATCTGGCGTGGATTAGTCTGGATTTCAAACCACCAGTTCCTGACACAACTGACTAAATCCGCCATGAATCATGCCCCAAACATGTTATTATTTTTAACATAGGCCTCTGTATGGCCTTCAATTTAAGCTGCTTACGCTTCGCCACTCAGGCCATGGCCATGGGCCCCTGTACCCCTCCTCTCTGCTGCTGCCAGGTCCAGAGTGTCTCATGGGTCCCTGTACGGCCTCCCATTGCTGCTGTCTCCATCGCCACACTCTGCCATGTGCCACTTTCAGGTCTCCTCACACTGCTGGTGGGTTCCATTTTGTCATAGGGTGCTGGCAGATTACGGGCCTCCCATTGTGCTGCCAGGCCCGTAATCTGCCATGGGCCCCCGTACCGCCTCCTCATGCTGCTGCCAGGTCCAGAGTGTCTCATGGGTCCCTGTACGGCCTCCCATTGCTGCTGTCTCCATCGCCACACTCTGCCATGTGCCACTTTCAGGTCTCCTCACACTGCTGGTGGGTTCCATTTTGTCATAGGGTGCTGTATGGCCTCCCATTGCTGCTGCTGCCTCCACCGCCACACTGTGGCTCCACACTCTGGTTTTGGCCCCGTGACTGCCCAAATGAGTGAAGTGTGCGGTGATTCTAAGATCGACGGCACTCATCTGCATGTCATACTGACTGACAGTATTATTTCTCTTCCCCAGCAGACTCCAAGGGCATTTAAATTAAAGGTACAGTGTTCTGCACTAATATAAAGGCTCTCTGAAGCCTAGAAACACCCTTTTTATAAGTTAAATTCGCAGCGAATATATTCGACTTGAATCAAATTTATTCCTCGAATTCATACAGTACTAGGAGATTGAACTGCAATGGGAAGATGGCTGGTAGGAAGCTAAACGTATCTGCAGCTTAGTACTGCTCAGCAGATGGCATCTCAGTAACACTGAACTGATCTGTAGAAAGCTGATTCACTGTGACAATTTTTTTTTTTTTCTTTAACAATCATAAAGATCAAACTTTAGGATCTAAACAGTTCTAGTCTGGAAAAAAAGATTGTAATGAGATCAGAACGTGGACAGTGAGAAATAATTCATGCATTTTACCCCATAGAAATGATCGACTCTGTTTATCGTTGCATTTTACCTAAGGGCCTTCTCAAGCAAGCAGTCTAACTGGTTATATTTATGTTCTGGGGTGGGAGCATCAGCTAAGCTACATAAAAGGGAAACCGTGATGACTTTTATGTCTTAACTAAACATACAATCGTAAAATCAGTCTGTATACGCAGAACTGCATGCTTAATATACTCACCATGGAACCTAAGGGGTTAATCCCCTGCATTGCACAAAAAAGGGTGTTTGATCCTGACTTCTCTGATCCTCCCCTTCTTCCAGTGGCCCCCTCTTATCTCCCAATAAGACATATCGTATGGAGACACTCTGCACATGCTCAGTTTGGTGTGTATTGCTGGAAAGTTTTTTTCTTTCTTGGGATCAGCACAGGAACAATCAGCAGTGTCCAGACAGAGGTCAGGGGTTGTGCATCCTGCTAGAGCAGAAAGAAAACTCTATGTTTGTTCTACTCACTGTGGAACCTAAGGGGATAATCCTCTGCATTATGTAAAAAGGATGTTTGATCCTCCCCTTCTACTGTCCCCAATCCATCTGCTGATAGTACATAGCTCTTGGAGTCACTCTGCACATGCTTCGTTTAATGTGTATTGCTAGAGAGTTTATTTTTTCTTTGGGAAGGTGCACGTGATCAGCACAGGGCCAATCAGCACTGTCCAGACAGAAGGTCAGAGGTTATGCAGCCTCATAGGACAGTCAGAGCAGAATTAAAATTCCTCCTACAAGATTAACCAGTGCTCAGCTGGACACTGATTGAAGTCACAAGACTGCTCTAACTGCTGATGAGAAAAGGTATTTAGACATTTATATTTAGTAAAATAATTGCATTTCACTATATCTGGTCTCCCACAGTACACAGAACATGAAATGCAGAGTCCTGGCTTTAGTAACACTTTAGGTTTAGCGGGAGACTAGATATAATGAATGCAGAGTCCTGGGTTCAGTAACCCTGTAGGTTTAGTGGGAGACCAGATATAGTGAATGCAGAGTCCTGGGTTTAGTAACACTTTAGGTTTAGCGGGAGACCAAATAGTGAATGCAGAGTCCTGGTTTTAGTAACACTTCAGGTTTAGCGGGGAAACCAGATATAGTGAATGCAGAGCCCTGGGTTCAGTAACACTTTAGGTTTAGTGGGAGGCCAGACATAGCGAATGCAGAGTCCTGGGTTTAGTAACACTTTAGGTTTAGTGGGAGTCCAGATATAGTGAATGCAGAGTCCTGGGTTTAGTAACACTTTAGGTTTAGTGGGAGTCCAGATATAGTGAATGCAGAGTCCTGGGTTTAGTAACACTTTAGGTTTAGTGGGAGACCAGATATATAGTGAATGCAGAGTCCTGGGTTTAGTAACACTTTAGGTGGGAGTCCACTGAGTTTTTTAGCAGAAGAGAACAGAAATAGTGATAAAATGCAGTAGTCCTAGCTGTGCTTCAGTATAACAATTTACAGCATGGCTGGCCATACATTATACAATTTGCTTGAGATTTTTGGGTTTAGATTTACAAAAAACATTAATAGGAGGTCAAACCCAAACAACACTTTCAATTGTATCCAATTAGGCAGGTTCTTCCACTACATAGTTGAAGGAATATCAGATAAAAGGAAATTGGGCAGAAATTGGAATTGGACAGAAAATTGTATAATGTATGGCCAGCCTATACTTGGCCTCAACCTGAAAGATGAGGCTTTCTGAGCAGGATTCATCATGTTGCAATAATGCCCAATGCATGCTAAGTTGTCCCTTTCAAGCAGTATTTTCATAATCCCTTTATCACACCTCAGAGCTTTAAGGCTAGGTTCACACATATGCGGTGCAGTAGATTGCATGTGATTCGCACAGTAACCGCACCGCATTCCTGTGCAAATCAAATGCGAATTGTGTACGGTGCAATTTGAGCCATACATTATGTTTGGCTCATATCGCACTGCATCCACGCCAAAAAGGTGCAAAACCCTTTTTTGGGTCCGCACTACAATGGGATCGCATGGATATTCACACCTATGTGATCCGATTCTGCACATCGCACCTCTTTTTGCAGACCAATTGCAGGGTGTTTTTAACTTGACATACACACCCGCAGCGATCCGCATGACGGTGCGATTCTGATACGGTACGGAATTCGCAGAAAATGCTGCCAATTCCACACCGCATCAGTGTGAACCCAGGCTGAAAGTGCTTGTAAACCTCAGACATGAAATATGAAAAAAAGGCATATCCTTCTATACTGTGTACTTGTCTCTCTCCAAAGCACTAAGTGTCATTTTTCTTTCTGTTGCCTGGTTCCTCTTTTATCAGCAGGAGCAGGGCTTTTTTTCTAGAGAGGAAAGGTGGTGGAACTTTCCCCCACCCAAACCTGGCCACGCCCCCATCAAACCCTAGGACCACCCCTTTAGAGAACAGGAATGCAAGTAAAATTTGGGAGGGGCTTCCGATGACATCATTTCCCGTACATACCATATAAGGGAAATGATGTCATCGGACCCCCGGCTGCCTCTTGCATGATCTGCATGAAACACATGCATAGATATAAAATGACTAATGTACTGACACCAGAAACACATGCATAGATATAAAATGACTAATGTACTGACACCAGAAACACATGCATAGATATAAAATGAATACCGTACTGACACCAGAAACACACGCATAGATATAAAATCAGTACCGTACTGACACCAGAAACACATGCATAGATATAAAATGACTAATGTACTGACACCAGAAACACATGCATAGATATAAAATCAGTACCGTACTGACACCAGAAACACACGCATAGATATAAAATCAGTACCGTACTGGACAGAAACACATGCATAGATATAAAATCAGTACCGTACTGACACCCTCAACATAGATATAAAATCAGTACCGTACTGACACCAGGATTCACACATGCATAGATATAAAATCATGGCAGGCCGTTTGTAAACGTCCAGCATAGATATAAAATCAGTCTAGCATGCATGTGTACCCTGTCTGGTAGATGTGCCTGCTCCTACAGGCTCCCCTAGGGTTGCCACCTTTTCCTCCAAAAAATACCGTCCATCACTGAATTTATCTTTCCTGTTCCTCATGCACAGGAGGGGCGCTCTCGATCGGCGCCGCTGAGCGCTGAGCAATTGCGTTCTGAAATAGTTTAGGTGGGCTCAGGTGGGTGAGGATAGTTTAGGTGGGCTCAGATAGTTTAGGTGGGCACAGGTGGTTGGGATAGTTTAGGTGGGCACAGGCTGGGGAGAGAGTGCAAAACCCTTTTTTTAGAGCAATACATGATACTGCAGTCAGTGACAGGGAGCCGAGCGCAGCTTACCTACTCCAAGCTGTACGGCCCCTGCGTCCACGCTGTCACTGCCGTTGATGTCGCCGCGCCGCCCCCGATGTTTACACACCCGGCGGGGGGGGGCGGTGAAGCGTGCATAGTGTCCTCGCCCATCGTCCGCGCCCCCGATGTTTACACGCTGGCGGTAGAGGGGGGGGGGGTGAAGCGTGCATGTCCCCCGCTCACCGGCTGTGAGCAGCGGCAGTGACAGGTGCCGGGCACGCGCAAGCATGACATAAACAAGCCGCGTCCGGCACCTGTCACTTTCGCTGCTCTGCATAGCTTGTCAGCTCTGCAGAGGCAGTCGGTGAGCGGGGACAAGAAGAAAAAGGTGGCTTTCAGTACCGCCGCGTTCCGGCAGAAAGAAAGCCCTGAGCAGGAGTCACTACTAGCAGCTTTTCCCAACATAAAAAAGGTGATGGGGAAGGAGTTAAATAGCTGATGGGGGAGGGAGCTGCAGCACTCAGCCTGTGACTCATATGCACAGCTGTGCTTGCTCTTGTAGTGTGTGAAGGTGGGTGTGTCCTGTTCCTCCAATCAGGGCTTGGGGCTGTCAGCTCTGTGAAGACATCAGATCTATGCCCCCTGCTGATAGAACTAAAGAAAAATCCTTTGATCTGTGTGATCTGTGTTTTTTCACAATGATCTACAGAAGAAATGGCTGCAGATACACAGCTGCAAGCTATGTGGAGGATTTGTTTCATCTCTAAGCATCCCCTAATGCAGCGGTTCTCAACCTGTGGGTCGCAACCCCTTTGGGGGTCGAACAACCCTTTCACAGGGGTCTCCTAAGACCATCGGAAACACATATCTCCGAAGGTCTTAGGAGCCGAGACACCGCTCCTCTATCAGTCTCCAGGCGTGTCCGCCCACATGCAGATACGTCCACATTTCCCTGGACCGCGATGTGTGCGCGGGATGACATGCCGCCCCTGTCATCTGGCCACATCCCCGGGATCACTCAACAGCTCCGCCTCCTCGCCAGTGATTGGCTGCCGGAACTGTAGCTCAGGAGAGGCACACAGGCGGCCAATCACCGTCGAGGAGGTGGAGCTTGGAGAGGAGGAGCCGAGCAGCAGCGCGAAGAGCAAAGAAGATCGAGCGAGGGAGCAGCAGGAGAAGGAAGACAGCTGACAGGTAAGCGTCTGTAGCGTGCAGATGGTGCTTCTGCAGCCAGGTATGCTGGCTGTAGATGGGAGAGGGAGGGAGCGAGCCCAGGCTGGAGCAGGAGTCAGCAAGGTAAGTATCATTGGTGTCAGTGGGAGGAATAGTGCCCCATCATTGGTGTCATTAATACCAATGATG